ACTTGATTGTCTACTGTTGTTTTATTTAATATGAATGATTACATTGTGCTTACAAGATTAATACCTTTTGAATAAAAGTTGTATTTTTATCATAGCTTGTAATCTGTTTTTTGGGGACTTAACGGAATGGGTGTGACCACTGAAAGGGTGTGGTTACTGAGGAGTGTGGTTACTGAGGGGTGTGGTTACTGAGGGGTGTGGTTACTATGGGGCGTGGTCACTATGGGGCGCTGTAAAGCTTTCTCGCACAGGGCGCCTAAAGGCCTGAGGCCGGCCCTGGGTCCACAGTGGGGACTGCCCACTTGTTAACCTCCCTGGCGGTAATCCCGAGTCTGGCTCGGGTTGAATTTTTAATGCTAGGAGCGGTAACAGAAGGGGCAGCACTTATTTCTCCAGCTTAACACTTTTTGTGAAAACCGACAGAATAGGGAAAGAACAATGGTGGTGCTGAACAATGAGAAAAAACAGGACATGTTCAAAAATTTATAGGACAAGAATCCTTAAAAACTTACCATTGTCGAAGGCCCTTAAAATGTTATGCAGCTAACAAATACACAGGAGATGGTCCCAGCTACAGTACCTCCACGATCTGTGTCTGCATCCAGAGGTATGGCCCTACTTGTCCACCTGTGCGCTAGATTGTTGCCTTTTTGGGCGAACATCCACTGCTAAGACTTGGACCCAATTCACCCAGAGACTTCTGCCATGTTCTGGGATCCTTGCGGCAGAAATGACAGGTGTCCGCATTTAGATGCGACCTCTGTGTCTATGCCAGTAAATGAAAGGGTGATGACGTCCACACCTGTCAGCGGAAGTCCACATCTAAACCCACATGATACAATTACATACAGTTTGGGATAGACGATTGTCCTTGGACGCAAGATAGATGCATCCAGGACTCTGGTTTAATAAATTGCTACACCCTACGGAGTTAGCTATGGCTTAGGACAACACATAGACCTGGCTTAGGCTGATATACAACATAGGTGTTACAGGAACTAGACAGTAGTTTACAGTATTAAACTGTACTCTACACAACAAATGGACCAGAATATCACTAGTTAATGAGTTTTTGAATTCATGTAAAGAGGTACACTTTGAAGACCTAGGTCAGGGATGGAGAATTTATCAGGCTGAGTGCCAGTATACCCAAAAGCATCGTCTACTGACCAAGTTGTTGAATTAATAAACATCAATGGATTCAAAGCTTCTAATGATGCCTAATAATAGTCTCACTGGTTTTAATAATTTGAGATTCTTCATTTGCAGCATTATTTTGCCCACTCTGAGCCTGCATTAATTATAATTGGTACATACAAGGTTGGAGTAGTTCCATCCAGTGTTGAACTTGTGTGAGTTCCATTCACCATAGTCCCTTGTGATGGCATTACCAACGACAGAGTAACACTGGTTTTGCTAGTGTTTTGTGCATTGGAATAGGGCACAGACACAGGGTACACTCGCCCACCTGAAACAACAAGCAGCATGTCAGTATAAAAAAATATATATACACAGTAATTGATATGAAAATTACACTTGAAAGCCATAGGTTACTAAGATGGTAACAGAAAATTGGCACAAACCCTGAGTTGGTGTCAAAGTAGTAGCTTCCTCTAAGGGGTAGCCCAGGTTACGAACAAGAAGAGTCATGTCCTCATGTTTGGTGCAGAACTTTGCTCGTTCACCACCACTGAGAAAGGTATCATGGTGAATCCTCTTCACTCTCTCCACTACTGCCTGTGCCACATCATCCAGAGACACCTGCTTGGCAAACTCTGTGGCAATCATTGCTGCTATTTCCTGTAGGATAAAAAGGCAAAGGATATTAGACTATTACAAAATGTAAAATTTGCTGCTGGTACTAGTAGGATAACAATGTGTAGTACCTGATTAGCTTGTCCAGGCCCATGTGCCGCTTCCAAAGACTTGTAAAGACCCTCTGACATTAGCACAAGAAAGCCAGTAACACCATCCACAGGCTGGCATCCATGAATTTCTGGCTCTGCCATGATTGGTTTAGATTTGGCTGCACTAAAGACCAGAGCACACAGTTACTGAATGTAACTATACATTTTAATCAGTTTGAAAACCTAGTGAAATACCTACATGATACTGTACTAGTACAGAAACAAATTTACAAATCTGAGAGATGACTGCACACTTGTAAATGCTTATCTTGCTTCTTTATTAGGTAAGTGGCATAAAACATGGGGTCATGTCAGCTCTTACATATTTCCTGCTGCATTCAGTTCTCTTAGAGAATATCTAATTATTTGGCAGAGTGAAATTGTCTTTCAGTCCAAAATCATACATTGCTGCACACTAATAGATCAGCATATTGGTTAATGCACTAAGGCTGAAGTGTGGCTGAACTAGAGCAGTAGGTTTTTTTTTGTGAACAGTAAAATGACATTTGGAGCTGTGAAAGGTTGTATAATAGAGTACTATAGAGCATGGGTTCTCAACTTGTGGGTCGCGACACCTTCTGCAGTGGGTCGCGGTGTGATTTCTGCATAGAGCGGCCCATCTGCAGTAGGAAGAAATAGAGGGGGAATTTGAAGTTCAGCCTGTGGGAACCTCATAATGTGAAACTGTCCCCTCTCTCCCGGCCTCCCCCGGGCTCTCCGATAAAGTGATATGGCCCGAGGAGAGAGGGGACTATTTCCTCACTTTCGGCCGGCGCGTTAATATCAGGAGCCGCGGCTTTCCGACATTAAAGTTAAAGTTCCGGCCCGGCCTGCACTGGAGAGTACAGCAGATATCAATCCGCCGCTGTATTTACTGTACTCTCCAGTGCAGATGGTTCAGTCTGACTGGAATCAGAGAAAGGTAGGCAGGCAGGGAGATGTGCACTGTGGCAGGACAGACTCTCCTGTCATCCTGTCAGTGCAGAAGCTCTGGGGGGCATTAGCAGGGGCTTAGTAGAGCACTTGCAACGGTGCCCCTGCTAATGCTTCTGCACGGACAGGGGACATTATGACAGGGGACACTGATGGAGATTATGTACACTACCAACCGCCATAGTTTTCATGGTCCACTGCTCTTTTGGGGGACTCGGGACCAGGGCAGTTCATTCAGAATAGAGAGCGGGAGCAGGCCGGTTCTGATCTGCTGTACTGCCAGTGTTTCCTGTCTCAGCAGTCACAAGCTGGACTGCACGGGAGATGGAGCACAATGCTGTTCTTGATCACCTGTGTTGGAGTGCAGGGGAGACATTAGGGGTCATTAGACCCCAGATGTTTCCATAAAGAGAACCTGTCACCTCAACACGCTATAACATAGGAGCTTGTTAGCCCCTATGTAATAGTAATAAAGTTAAGGGGGAAAAAATTTAAGTCATAAAAAATAATAAAATAAATATAAATGTAGAAATGAAAACCAACCCCACCATTTGCATGAGAATAAACATGCGTGTGTGGGGCATTCATGTGTATGCACCAAACATGTTAGGTATCACCGCGAACGTTGGAGAGCAATAATAATTGGGCCATAATTCATGGTTAACGCTAAACTGATGACCTGTACAGGCTTTTAAAACGTCACCTATGGACAATGTTGTGAAGCATAGTTTTTCACCATTGCTGAGGTGCATGCAATTTTAACACTTGACATGTTTGGTATCTATTTACTCGATGTAACTGCATCTTTTACATTTCACCAAAAATGTGACCATGTGTCACATTGTTATGCCTGATAAAGGGACTGCATGTGGTTTCTGTCAGTCATTTTGGTGTCACCCCCTCTGATGGTATCACTGGGTGTGGGCCACACATGCCTTGTGATGCCACTGCCCGCAATACTGCTCCTACCCCCTACTAAAGCTCCAA